AAAAACAATCAAAAAGTTGTATTTTTTTAACGGTTTAGATTTCAAATATTAAAAGGTTACCAAAAAGCTAACACACATGTAATAGTGTTTTTGTATTTGTTCCAGTTTATTGTTGGAATTTTGATTGGTAATGACTAACAAAACATTAGAAAAGAATATAAAGTAAAGGGTTTAATGACTTAATCACGAGGCTCCCCTCTTAGAACAATGTTGTGTTAATATGATGATTGGCTTAGAAAAAGTATAAGGTTATATATATATATATATATATATATATATATATATATATATATATATATATATATATATATATATATATATATATATATATATATATATATATATATATATATATACTAGGTTACAACCCGTGGAAACTACGGGTAAAAAAGGAAAAACAATATTGATAATTAAAATAACAATGAAAAATTAAAAGATTTATAAATTTTTGCTAAATTAATAAGATAAGTTTTTTATCTTTTTTTTTTTTGTGAAAAACTATTATATAGGGACAATATAAGACAATTAACATATTAAAACCGACACTATATATGTAATTTTTTATCTTTTTTTTTTTTTTTTGTGAAAAAATATTATCTAGTGACAATATAAGACAGTTAACATATTAAAACCGACACTATAGATGTAATATTTTGCATATTAGGGATATGTAATAGTCGGGGAATAATTTGGAGTTTTGTTTGTAGAGACGTTTCAGAAAATCGTTCACCCTTCCAAGAATTAAAACGTTTATAAGTCTGGCTACAAATCAAGTATGAAAAAAAAATTGTGGGGTAACGATTATTCATTGTATCTCTGTGGATTTTGTAATATGAATAGAACACATCGGACAAAAGTCAAATACAAAGAGTCACACCAGCAAAAACATATAAATTGGAATGACGGCATTCTAATTACATGTTATAACGATTCAACTAAGAAAGATAAACATCAGTAAAAACATAAACGGGAAAACAACTTCCTACATACAAATTAAATGAGATCTAACGAAGTATATAACGAATAGAAGTGATGGAAAGCTTTGTTTTCTTCCCTAAAGAAGATTGTGAGAGAAACTGTGTTAAATCAAATACTACAATGGTTAGAAACATATATACCTACAAATAGCATTATAATGATTCCATTTAATTCCAATGAAATTCCATTTAAAACTTATAATAGAATATGAGATTTTTATTAGAAAATTTAATGGAAGTAATAATGATTACCGAATATTTAGGAATTGATATGTATTCAAAATATAGTTTCTTTAAAATGCATTTAAAGGTTACCATGTTAAAACCCTTTAAAATTAATGAAGGGTGGGGATGTATCGTCGAATTAAAATTCAATTTTACAACAGAAAGTGTATTTGGCATGAGAAATTAAATTGCCTACTATCTTTTATTCCTACAATTATTCCTACCCACTAAAATTATGACAAATCACCATTCAATTTAATTGTATTTGATATATTCCTAATATAGTCTTAATGATTTAGTTTAAAAAATATGGAAAGATGACACTTGTCATAATTTTATTGGGTAGGCATAAAAAATAAGAATCAATTTAATTTCTCATTTGGCATTTGTTAAACTTCGTATATGTTTCATAAAACAGAATCCAAATAAGTAAATTTGTAGTGATTATTGACTAAATCTGCAAAAAAAACGTCCTTTATAAACAAATTGTAAGATAACCAAGTGTAAAATAAAATATTAATTATCGGCTAACCAACAATGTCCTACTGAATTTGGGGGTATTTTTTTTTCATTGGTTATCTTGCTTTATCAATCATCTTCACTGCCTTCATTTGTTTCTTATTTTATAGTATGTGGTAACTCAATTCTCATATGTAACCTATCAAAAAATAATGAATATGATCAATAGAAGAAAAAATTAAAAAGATTTTTAATACCCTTGGTTAACCATTTCAAAAAAAGAACAAGATTGATGAAAATAATGAACTTACATATCTCATTGAAGGTGTAGCCATGGTTGACAAAAATACCCTTGGCCTTCAAAAAAACTTCAGAACCATTCTAACGCTATTCACATTTTTTTCAATTATAGAGATTGCATGTATAAATGTTCAGATACACATAAAGAGATTACTTGCATTATCTACAAAACAAATCACATTAAATTTCTATTCTATCGACTAAACAAACCACTAATCTAAGCACTAAAGTATCAAAAAACAGCATATTAAATGTTATAATCATGAAAAATAACTGGCAAATACTTCTTTGCCTTAACGTTGTCCTTTGGAAGCATAATTTAATAAATAAATAAAAATCCATTTATGATATAAGATAACAAATGAAGATTTTTTATATGAAGACATAAAAAAATATGCAACTGGAAGAAAGTAATCAAAACATATGACATTGTCATTAAATTTGAACCATCAGAACATCCTACATCTTCACATGAGTCCCAAGAACCACCTTGATGTCAACCTAAAGTGATTAACAACTTGTATTGATATTAAAAAAACATAACATCACAGTGATACATAAAGTCCAAAAACTTCAAAAAGATTTCATTAAGGAAAAATAAGGGAACAAAATTACACACAGAAAATATGAAGACAAACATAATTACAATTATGTCCTGGAGTAGTATACATATAAAAGGATTCCGAATAATACAATAAAGTATATTAAAACATTCAAACAAATAAAACAAAACAGAAAGACACATAAACACACAAACTACATACCCCTGTTGTGAAAATTACCAATATGTCCCTGTACAAAAAATGAGCATTATGTCCCTGAACTGGTTGTTGTAATTACCATTCTACCCTTTGTAACTGGAGAATGATTAATTAACAGCTTAATTGTTGTAAACCAACCTTAACAGGGCCTGTGGTTCAAATTACTACAGAACAATTCAAGCAGAAACTGACATTCACAAATACACATTGGTAATTTAAGTAGCATCAGTTAAATTGTCACACACACACACGCATACACATTAAGTAGCAGAAAAATATTCCAAATAATAATACAATAAAGAAGGGGTTAAATCGGTAATTAGTAGAGTCGAATTTGATGGATTGAATTGCAGAGATTGTCTAAATCGGTAATCAAATGGAGAGTTGGTGATCAAAATGGAGAAAAATTTCTAATTACCATTCTACCCTTTAGTCATATGGATTGATTAACATATTAATTCGTGTGGATTGAATTGCAGAGATTCTAATTACCATTCTACCCTTTAGTCCTATGGATTGATTAAAATATTAATTCGAATTTGGTGGCTTGAATTGCAGAGTCGCTGATCAAAATGGAGAAATTGATACAAATGGTTTTGAGAATCTTTTTATATGTCTACATAACATGAGAAGCATAAAATGGCATTCATCATTCTGTAGGAAACAGGAGCTTATAAATACACATTGAGAAGCAGAAACTTACCGAAGGATTGAAGTCGTTGATTGAATATCCGATAATTGAAGTGTCGATGATGCTTAATTGTTGGAAAGACGATGTTGTAAAGAATGATTCATATCGTATGTTTCAAGTATAAGTTGAGCATAATACGATCAAATCGACATAATAATCAAAATTAAATGTAATCGATATGATTGATATGAATACCATAATAAGCTGCACTTTAATCGGGCATGTAACAAAATTGACAAAATTGAGTTAATGTGTACAGCTATTATGAGCAATAAAAATTGAAAGAAAGACAGAGCGTTATATGGATTCCATATTCCATTCGATATCATTCGATATCCTTCCATATTCCGTATTCCAAATTCAAAATTTCCATATTTCCATTTGCATATCTAATTCTAATTCTAATGATACGTGAAAAGGAAGGAGTAAAACCGGAATTTAACATTTGCAGAAAACTGAATTTTTGAGAGGACACATGTACAAAATGGTTTTGTTTATTATATATATATATATATATATATATATATATATATATATATATATATATATATATATATATATATATCTAATAAACAAAACCATTTTGTACATGTGTCCTCTCAAAAATTCAGTTTTCTGCAACAAAATGGTTTTGTTTATTATATATATATATATATATATATATATATATATATATATATATATATATATAAGTTTAGGTACCCAAACTCACCATAATACGTCGTTTTGTTTGATAATCATTATAATGTTCTTAAACTTCAACCCCTAACTTAATTTACTTCCAGAATTTTTGAAATTTCACTATTATCTTCCTCTTACATCACATATTTATGTCGAACACCTACTAGGCTATATATATTATAGTTAAAAATGAAAATTATATAAAAGGAAGATAAATGTAAAATTTTTAAAAATCTTAGAATTAAATCAAGTTAAAAGTTGAATTAGAAGAATATTGGATAACTACAATGTGTATATATGATACAAAACGATGTAATATGATGAGTTTGGGTACCTAAGCTTATATACCCTTAAGAGTATATTCACTTTTCTTATATATATATATATATATATATATATATATATATATATATATATATATATATATATATATATATATATATATATATACACCTTATAAAGCATTAGTCAAATGTTGAATTTTAAGTCGTACAAACCTTATTGCGATTTGTACAATAAATTTATGCATCAAAATCATATTTGGTCAACACACTATTATGCATCAACTTCGGCCACATATGTTAGATAAGGGTAATATGGGAAAATCATTAAATAAAGATAATCTTATTAGTGCAGGGGCATTTTAGGCATTTTATATTAGTTAATTTGTTATGACAGATAGTATAAGAATAGGGTAATGGGCAGGGAGTGAGGTATCTATCTTTTATGTGAAATTTGGAATTTATTCCTTAGGAGATTAGCTATCTGGAATCAGCTAAACTATAATTGTTCTTGTAATCTTTTGGGTATAGTTGAGGTTATCAATCAATATTTGAAGTTGTTGTTACTTTTTGTGTTATTGAATCTGTTGTTATAACTCAGTTCATAACAATTGGTATCAGAGCAATGAACCTGGTTCATGTGGATCAAAGAAGAGATGCAGCAGAAGAAGGATGGGAAGGAGTGAAATCAGTTCTAACTGATTTGCAGCAACTAATGAACACCGAGTGTTCTCTACTGGTGGAAAAGATGACTGAGATGGCCACTGAGAACAAGAGGGTTTGTTCCATTTTTTCAAAGAAAAGGGGTAAACAGAACAGCTATAGACTACAACCGCCGCCGCCACCACCACCGGAAGTTGAAACAAAGAAAAGAGAAACGGTTAAGAGAGAAACGGTTCTTAAGGAAGGAGGGACCAACCGGAGGTTTCACAAACTTGAGATGCTCTTGTTTAATGGAACTAACGCAGATGAGTGGATTTCTTATGTGGAAAGGTCATTCTACATGTATGAGGATGAAGAAATGTTGAAGGTTGTTGTGAGATCTCTAGAAGGTGACGCCTTACTTTTCTATGAATGGGAGCATAGGAGGCGGTCCATACGAGATTGGGAAGAGCTTAAAGGATTAATACGTCGGCGGTTCAAATCTTCCAACGACGCGGCGGAGCATAATTTGGCGAATTCTCAGTTTGGATGGTTAGAATATTCCGACCATGACAGTAGCAAGAATGCAGTTCCGTTCCAAGGAGGTCCCAAGCTGCCTTCCGAAGAGCTAGAGATGCCCTTGTTCGATGGTAATCAGTTGAACTGGATCCTAGAGGCTGAATGGTATTTTCTTTTTACGGATTGAGAGAAGAAGATAACCTCGATGTTGCAGTGATGGCTCTACAAGGCGACGCCCTATTATGGTATGAATGGGAGCACCGAAGACGACCCATTAAAGACTGGGAAGAGATGAATTGTCTAATTCGTCAACGGTACACACTACACTGTATCCGGAATGCGAAGTTAAGAAGAGTGGGGAGACGAACTCGACTATGAACATGGAAAAAAGGATCGGGGACCACCGGAAGGTAGCGACTGTTGGATTAGTGTCTAAGTCCATAACTGTTTTGGTATGTACTTGACCCGATTATGAGCATGGTCCTTTTGGGTTGCCTTCACCATAGCAATATGTAGGATGATTTAAGGAGAGAAAGGTTTAAATATGATTTATTAATATATTATGAGAATAATATATTAAAGGAGAAATAATATTGTTTAATTAATATTGGTCAAGAATTAATTGATAATTAATTTTGTGGCTAAAAGAGATTAATTAAATTTAGGGGGCTGGACTGCAATTATTGGATAATTGAGTTATTGGGCTAAGGAATGCTAAAGGAATAAGGGGTGAACGAAATTATGATGGAAGCCCATCATATTTTCGTCCATGGCCTTATCCAGAAGGTTCCATGGGCCGCTTAGAGTTTAAGCTGTCCATTAGGGTTTTGACTGAAACCCTAGCAGCCCACACTAGTATATAAAGGACCCCTTAGGCCCCAAAAACGTGGACAATTGATTCTTAGGGTTTCCAGCCGTTTTTGGTGCCTCCTTTTCTTCTCCTCTTCATCCAAGTTGCATATGGTGTTTGTGACTCCATTAGAGGTACTACACTTGTGGTACTTGCTTTCAAGAGCTAAGGAAATTCAAGGAACTAGTTGTTATTGCTATATAACAACAAAAGGTATGTATTCTAGCTTTATATATGAATTTCGAAAATTATAGTAGCATGCCAGGTTTCTTTTTGTGTTCATAAAGTTGTATAACTAATAGTGAAAACATAGATCCAATACTAGGGTTGCATGCACACATAGGATTGTTTGTATAAACCCATCAGTGGTATCAGAGCCATTGGTTTTTGTTTTCAATTAGCTTTTATTCAAATTTGTGAACTTGACATATTAGGGTTTATGGCTAATAAACCCTAAAGGCTAGGTAATTTTCGCAATTAGGGTTGCAAAACCCTAGATGGCGATTTTTGCTAGGGTTTCCCAAATCCTTTCCTTAGCCTCCAAGATTTTGAAATCTAGGGTTATCCAACCCTTGGATTTCGAAATTACCTCCTTCCCCAAGGTTAGATCCTAAATTTTAGGGATTTGGATAATCCCATATCTTGTAATTATCTTTTAATTGTTAAATATGGTAATTAAAGATCTTGAATTATCCCATCCCTTATTTTCGAGATTTAGAGAGGGATTCAAGGGATTAGGATATCTTAGATGTATAATTGGTAATTATCCTCATGATCTAGATAATCCCTTGTGATTTAATAATTTAAATTAATTGTTTAATTTATGGTAATTATTAAATCAAGAGTTTTAATATTTAAAATTTTAATTTAAATGTCTTAAATTCGAAAATTTTAAGTGAGATTAAAACCTAATTGTTTTGAAGAGTTTCAAAACTTGCCCTCAAGTTTTGGAATTTAAATTGTTGATTAAAAGTTAATTTTGAAAGTCTAAATTCCAAAACCCTGATTTTGAAAAGTTCAAATTAAACCCTTATGGTTTTATTAAATTAATTAAGTGTATAATTAAAAGAGATTTAATAAATCCATAATGATTTTGGTTATTAAAAGTATAATTTAAACCACCTAGTATTTTAAAAGTGTAAAATACACCCTTATACTATATATAACATTAAAAGTTTAATATTATATATGTATAACTAAAAAGTCAGTCTTACCGTTAGTAGGCCTCATTCACGAAACTAGTCTATAAGGGGTGTTTAAGGAAATTGCCTATAAAATGGCGATTGAATGGGTATCCACTCTTACCCACCGCACTCTTGACTAGTGGAGGGTCGTTAGCCGAACGGGTAGGATAGGACAGAAACCTTCCATTATAAGTATAATGAAGTACAAAGTAACTAAATGCTTTTTCAAATTCCCAAATCATAGTTACTTTAGGCAAAATGTGAAATTGTATGCTAACCCATGGAATTACACTTCGTACCCTTGTCAAACGTTAGTGGAGCGTGTGTGGTTAACCGGCACACTAATTTGGGGATGACATTGGTGGCAAAGGGTGGCTCGATGCTTATCATAGATCAATGGAGCGTGTGTGGCTAACCGGCACATTGATTAGGTGATAGTAGCATTGGGTGCACCACGTGATTCGTATGGTTATTTACACCTTGTTTGTGATCCTCGGCATCCCAGTCACGAATAGTAGGGCATAATCGAGATTAAACATGCCATTGAAGAGTTCAATGAGTCTCAAAAGATCTAGGAGTTTCAATTCATTTAAAACTTAAACTTCTTTTTCGTTTTTCATGGTGGAAATTGGTAAATCGTCATTTACCTACCTTCAAATATTCTGCAACTAGATTACGGCATCCCTCTTCTAGGTTGTAGAGTATTGTGTTGGATCCTAGCTTGATGTTTCATTTGGGTGTTGCATCAAGAATTCTAATCAACTTAACTTGAATTTTCTCCCGTTTTGTAGATGTCTGAATCTTACAATGGTCTTCCCAAATCCTTTGGAACAAGCTTTCCAAATGAAGATGACGTTCCGAGATACGATCAAGGAAATGAGAGTCATGCTTCACTTCCTCCACCTCCTCCAATTATTCTCCCTGACCCACAAGTTCAAAGGCTTGAAAAGTTCAAGCTCACTCAAGCCCTTTTGGCAAGTAAACACGAAGATGGGAAACCTGTGTGTGCGCACGTCTTAGAGATGAAGTCATACATTGATAGGTTAAACATGTTGGGTGTCGAGATTTCAAGTGAGTTGGCTGTTGACTGGGTTCTTCAGTCACTTCCTGAATCATATAGTGAGTTCGTTAGAGAGTACTATATGATGGACCACGACGTGACCCTAATTGATCTCACCTATTTGCTTATAGCTGCTGAATCAGCAATGATTTGGCGTGCTGGTCAAGCAAATTTGTCTAGTGAATCAAACTCCCAAACTTCAATGGACACTGGCAACATTGGAAGTCCAGAAAGAACTAAGTCTGTGATTGTCCGATGTGTTGTGCCAAAGGAGTCTATTTGCTTTTATTGCCAAGAGAAGGGGCATTGGAGACGAAGCTGCCCTAATTACCTGAGAGATCTAAGAGATGGGAGAGTCAAGACGTATGGCTCTGCTTCAGGTAAAATCCATTAACTAACTCTTTTAAGTTCCTATTCTAGATTCTTAATACATGATGTGATAAGATTACATTTTGATGTTTTGTAGGATCGAAGAAAAGAAGGAAGCTTGAGAAAAGAAGTGAGCTGAATCTGATCATGAAGAAATGGATTTCGATCGCATTACTTGAAGAATGGATTCTTGAGCTACAACTTGGAGTTAGAATAGATTGTTAACATAGTTTTTCAGTTGAATTGCATTGTAAGGACAAGTTTTTTCCGCAATAAAATAAATTTTGATTTTGTCTTATTTATTTATCCTTACAATGAAATATATGAAAAATTGATGTTCATGTACTTCTATTATTAGCAAAATGGATTTGATTCTTAATTATGGAAATGTCAAAAGTGTACCAAATAGGGAGACTTTCTCATCGCCCAAGTTTCAATTGGACAGAAACTTGGAATCATGCAATGTGTATTGTATGATGAATGGAAAACTTTCACATTTGGGAAACTTAGACTAATTCTTTGGCAAAGTGTCAGTTGAAGGACTAGGAGATCAAGTACACTAGGTTGTGCGTTGATCAAGTCCACCACAAGAGTGACAAAGATATTCGTCATGATTTACTAAAGTTTAGTAAATGTGATTATACTTATAAGATTAAGTGTAATTCTGAGATTGATTGAAAGAGTTTCAATGAATAGTAGAACGAATAAAGAAGAATCAAGTAGGCAGAAAGATAAAAGTTTCTCTTTCTAGAAGAAGGGAGAGTACCTTTTATTGTGTTTTATGATAAGTCTTAAAGATTAAGAACCATGTCTCAATAGATCCTCTAAGTGAGTCTTAGTGCAATTGCATGTCTAAGAAGAGGAATCAAGTATTGTAGAAATGGTTAAATCAAGAAGTCAATCATACTTCGTTCCAATATCAAGTCTTAAAGTCAAGATTGTGACATTGAGTGAAAAGTTTAAGTAGGTTTATAACACTCATCAAATATGGAATTTGGAAAAGTTTTCTTATTCTTGTACATTTGAAATTGGTAAGTTGTGATGTCTTGGATAAGACAAAGACCAACTAGGACCAACTTGTGAAGTGTTTTGTCTTGATAAAACTGCACTAACTCTTGAATATTTGTTTGTCAAGAAATGTTTCTTGAAAGAGAATCTTATATGTCAAGAGTCAGTGGGAGTTTAATGGTCTTGAAAAGTTTCAAGAACAAATCAAGAATAAACCTTATCGATCATCACTAGCACACGACTTGAGGTTTACAACCTATCGTGCTGACATTGTTTTGTTTCTGTGCCATTCCAATTGAGTTAATTGTGTATATGAGTTCTATGAGTTCTCATTTGAATACACACTAAAGCCTTAGTCGATGGAAAGTAAATTGATATGTAAGGACAAGTTACTAAACTACTTGGAAGGCATGGTGGGCACTCGTGTTACCATAGGGCAAGAAATCAAGATTAAGAAAGTTCAGTCCATATGAGTTTGGATTTGTCGCAAACCTTGGTTTTGGCAAATTCACATGGATAGGAACTCATACACCATAAAATCTAAGTGTCATAAGATTCCCTCCTTCATGAAAATGACTGTGAGGAAATGCTTTCACTAAGAGAGATTTTAAGAAGATAGCAATTGTGAAAATTGTATTCTCAAATTCGATTATGGTTACGGCATCCCTTTCCATAGTTCGAATTGTGAGATTTGGCAATTAGTTTCAACATTTGGAACTTAGTAACATAAGTTATGAATTGTTTAAACACACATATGAGCTATCTAAGGCAAAGGTGTATAAGGTTAAGAAGCTTAGATAAAGGCTTATCGAAGCATCTGGTATTAGAAATATGAATTTCAGAAATTCAATAGGCATTGTTTTCTGGAAGTTCATTTGTTTTCTGAATACATGTCAAAGCTAGTGGG